CTTGGGTGCAAAATAGAGGAGCTGATAGCCCCCTACTGTAGCTGATGGACAGGGCCCACCTGTTGGCCACTTGAGGGTTTTTTGGCACCAAAGAGTAGTATTCCGGCTGTGAAGTGTACATACCCAATTGATCTAATGGCTAGAAATGTGACAGCCATCTGATCAACCATTCAAATGGATAGTCGGATTTCAAGCTTCACCAAATGATGTCTCCTGTCTACTACCACTTTGATCTCTTTCCTACGTGGACCAATTCGGATAGAATGGGCTATCTTTGTAGGCTGCTCTTTTGGGCTTTGCTATGTTGATCCCTCAACATTACATTGTGCAGCCTCTGGACATGTCTTGACCCATGGATTGGATTATTTGATTTGACTCATTTGTTGGGTTCCGTTATGGAATTTGGGTCGGATATCCCTTGTGATTTTATTGCTGCACTCTTATTTAAGGAATCTTGCTTCTTGTTTTCTGCATCTAGTCTCTCGGATTGAGAGAAATATATTTAGTATTTGGTACACTTGGTTGTGATGATCTATTCTCTTATGAGATTTGCTTTGTGTATCTTTCAGGATGCGTTTTGAGCTTGTAATATCTTTTGATTTTTTGGTAATAAAATTTGTTAAAAAGTAATGAAATTATTAAATGGAAAATTCATCACCACCTAAATCAGTGAGTGGCTCTATTTTTTTTTCTTTTTCTTTCTACCTTTTGTTTGAAGCAAGAGTATATTGAATGTTCATTTTGCTTTTCCTGTTTGCTTAACCAATTAATTTTGCAGACATTGATCTACTTTTACGAACCATTAGATGTGGAGCAAGATCAACTTATTGAAGGCTCTGTGACACTATCACAAAGTAAAGAAAACCCTCGATTCATGAACATTCATCTCGAATATGCGTGAGTAACATAACATTACTGTTTTTGAGTTCTTGATTTTTCAACTGCTTTGAAAATGTCTATATCTCCACGTTGATTATTGCTGCTGCAGGTCAGGTGGTCGTTCCTTTGTCAAAGAGTCAGTGATGCGATGATCCTGGTGGGGATTTTTCATTGTAGTTTCATTTGTTGATCTTCTTGAAGTGAAGCCTGTGTTAGATCACAGGTGACTATTGTGCACAGTTCTCTGCAAAATCTGCCTCTAAAATCAATTGCGTATACACAGCGCTCTGAGAGAGTGAACTCTCCGGGTTTCACTGCTTTTATCTCGCGAAGCCTCAGAAAGAAAGATAATTATTTTGCTTAGAGAATTACAAGTAAAACTGTGTAAAAGATCCTTGAGTGAAGCCTGCTGGAATTCTAAGACTGTACTGTTTCATTCAAGTTTTATCTGTCATATTAGATCCTGGTTCTGTCGAGGGAATGCTAGGTTGTGCCAGGTCATAGTCAGTCTGTCTCAATGATAGTGTTTTAGGTTTAAAAAAATGATTCTGGTAGAATTTTCTATTATATTTAATATTCCCTCATCAGTTAGAAACTTTATATCAGCTGATCTTCAAGGATTACTAGTTGCATTTAAGCTGGATTTTCTTGGTGCCACTAGGGGGAATAATCCCCAAAACGGTCCTTTCTTTCTTTCTTAATTTTCTTTTCATGCTCCAGAAGTACATCTAACAATGTTAGAACTGTGGACAAAATGCAACACAGGTAATTAATGATTCATCTTTTTTTTTTTTTTTTAAGTGATGGTGTTTTCCATTTCCTAAAAAAATAGAGAATTGTGCCCTTCTGGAAACGTGAACAGAATAGATTGGACCTAAGTAGACACTTCTTGATGTTTTGATAAGGTGCCTGCCTGCAAACAGAAATTACAGGGAACTGAGGTCTTTTGCTAGTCTCGCGTGCATATTAATGCAACGGAGAACTCAGTAGAGACGACGGTCACAGATCTTGAATGAAATATATCGATACATACATACTCATACAGAGGTAGAGGCCAGTCATTATGTGTCATTTGGAAAAATAAGAGCATGGAAGGTGCCACTTTTTGATATCAGAAAACAAAGTTTGAACATTAGCAACAGTCAATAAAATTGTTGTCGTCTCAAACAGCGGAATCATGAGAAGTAACCAGGCTCCAGCCAAAGACGATCTCAAGAACGTCTAAAACACGCTCTCCATCTTATATTCCATCATTCCACTTTATTTTTTGCCATCACTTTTAACGCCCAATTGGGTTAATTGCTGAAGCTCATCCTGTCACTATCATACTGTAAGTTGTAGATTGTCTAAATATTTCATCAGTTACAGTTAAAGTTAGGGTTGCCCATGGGCCGGGCCGGCCGGTTCGGGTTAGACTTGCAAAAATTTTTCTCGGGCAGGGTTTGGGTAGTGTAGACCCAAATGAGTTATTAGGAGGGCCAGGCTAGACTTTGGGTACGGCTTTGCTAGCTGGGCGGGCCTGTTCGTGGGTTTTTTTATATACAACTTTATTTAAAAATAATGAATATTTTTATAACTTAATATTTGTGTAAATTATATTTTTGAATCAAAAGTAGAGTCAAAATGGATAAAAATAAAATAATGAATATTTTTATTTTTGATCAGGGGATGAACTACATCCAATAGAATAAATATATCTCAACTAGGTTGACACCTATTCAATTATCTATCATTTGCATTACTCTACCCTTTAAAACTTATTTTTTTTAATACATGAAAAAGAAAATAATATATTATTTATAGTATCTAAATTTTTAAAACTTCAAATTATGATATTAAGAGACTTATTTTCAAAATTTCAAATTTAATGATGTAAAAGTATAATTGTTTTTCAATGGAATGATTGATGGGCTATGTGGGTGGGTTAGGCTCTTGGGTCGGGTTTTAACGGATTTTTTTACACTGGTTATTCGGTCAGGTAATGGGTTTGGGGGCAAATCCAAGTCTTTTTTTTAAAGAATATTACGCTCAGACTTAGACGGGTCAACTATAAAGTCTATTAGGTTTCGAACATATTTTTTTCGGGGTGGATAACGGGGCCCATGGGTAATCGGCCTATAGACACCCCTAGGTAAAGCCCCCCATTTGGTAATGTTTTTTAAAAATACTTTGTTATAGTAAAAAGGTAAATTTTATAAAATTTTGTTTTTTGCTTAAAAGCAAAAGCATGTTTGATAAACATCTTTAAAAAAATATAATGTTTTAGACTTTGATAATGCACAAAATAGTCTTATACAATATCAACAGTCAAGTGTCTGATAAAGTGTAATTAATTTACAATTAATAGAGCTATCAATGACAATTATGTAAATATCAGGTTAATACACATATATATAGTGGTTCGGTGCGGGTGATCTACTCCACTCTAGGAAATGGCAACGGTGGCGGGGGGACCTTTATTGATAAAATAAGGTAAACAAGAGAGAGAGAACAATGGTTAGCTTTGGGAGGGATACAACTGCTAGGAGAGAGAAAAACTATATGTGGGGTGTGTAGAGAGATGTAGAGATAGATAAAGAGGTGCCCTCTAATGTAGAGAGAACTTACAATTTATAGGCATAGAGCCTTGGTTAAGGCAAAGACGTGAGGGCAAAAGTACTAATTTTTCAAGTAGCTACAAAAGGTAAGTGTCATAAGAGGTTGACTTGATCTTCAAGAGTGAGTATCCCGATAATTACTCCACACGTACTCTAATTATTCTTGGATTCCTTGGACTTTGGGCTGGGTCGAATTCACGAATTAGGTTTGACTTGCCTTTTAGCTGATTTGGGCTTATTTGATTTGTTGGACCTAACCTAGTTGAATCTGGGCTCGTCATTTGCCCCCCATGCCCNATTTTTATTTTTGATCAGGGGATGAACTACATCCAATAGAATAAATATATCTCAACTAGGTTGACACCTATTCAATTATCTATCATTTGCATTACTCTACCCTTTAAAACTTATTTTTTTTAATACATGAAAAAGAAAATAATATATTATTTATAGTATCTAAATTTTTAAAACTTCAAATTATGATATTAAGAGACTTATTTTCAAAATTTCAAATTTAATGATGTAAAAGTATAATTGTTTTTCAATGGAATGATTGATGGGCTATGTGGGTGGGTTAGGCTCTTGGGTCGGGTTTTAACGGATTTTTTTACACTGGTTATTCGGTCAGGTAATGGGTTTGGGGGCAAATCCAAGTCTTTTTTTTAAAGAATATTACGCTCAGACTTAGACGGGTCAACTATAAAGTCTATTAGGTTTCGAACATATTTTTTTCGGGGTGGATAACGGGGCCCATGGGTAATCGGCCTATAGACACCCCTAGGTAAAGCCCCCCATTTGGTAATGTTTTTTAAAAATACTTTGTTATAGTAAAAAGGTAAATTTTATAAAATTTTGTTTTTTGCTTAAAAGCAAAAGCATGTTTGATAAACATCTTTAAAAAAATATAATGTTTTAGACTTTGATAATGCACAAAATAGTCTTATACAATATCAACAGTCAAGTGTCTGATAAAGTGTAATTAATTTACAATTAATAGAGCTATCAATGACAATTATGTAAATATCAGGTTAATACACATATATATAGTGGTTCGGTGCGGGTGATCTACTCCACTCTAGGAAATGGCAACGGTGGCGGGGGGACCTTTATTGATAAAATAAGGTAAACAAGAGAGAGAGAACAATGGTTAGCTTTGGGAGGGATACAACTGCTAGGAGAGAGAAAAACTATATGTGGGGTGTGTAGAGAGATGTAGAGATAGATAAAGAGGTGCCCTCTAATGTAGAGAGAACTTACAATTTATAGGCATAGAGCCTTGGTTAAGGCAAAGACGTGAGGGCAAAAGTACTAATTTTTCAAGTAGCTACAAAAGGTAAGTGTCATAAGAGGTTGACTTGATCTTCAAGAGTGAGTATCCCGATAATTACTCCACACGTACTCTAATTATTCTTGGATTCCTTGGACTTTGGGCTGGGTCGAATTCACGAATTAGGTTTGACTTGCCTTTTAGCTGATTTGGGCTTATTTGATTTGTTGGACCTAACCTAGTTGAATCTGGGCTCGTCATTTGCCCCCCATGCCCCAAGCCCTTGAGGTGGCTAGAGGTTGAGGGCATGAGAGTCTTTGGACAGATGAGGGTTTCTTGTTATGCATGGTGGTAGCTTCATTATCTGAAAAAGGTTCCTTGTCCTGCATGGTGGTAACTTCTTTAATCTCTTGCTCCGTTCTCACCTTGAAAGCTCGTTCTCTTGACTTGATAATCATTGTGGTTGAAAGCCTATTGTCCCGTCGGCTATATTCCAATAGGTAGGTAAACTCGACGGCATGGTCGTCCTCTTTTACTTAGGTATTTGCCTTCAGGCTTTAAAGGGCATTTTTTTTGGCAAACCCATCATATCCCTTTTTGAGCTAGGGCTTAAAAACCACCATTTCTCCATTTCACATTCCACAAACTACTAGGCAATCTTGAAGGAGGTGACTATGGAGACAAGGGAGAAGACAAAGAGCGGAGTCTCGATGAAGGAAAAGGAAGGTGAATCGAAAACTTCAGGTGGATGCTTTGATGGTTTCCGTTGTATTCCCAATTATCCCCACAAGAACCCTCAAATATGTATGACTTATATGTGTGGTTGAGTGTCACTCTCACTCGGGTTCATTGCAAGCAATGGAAAAAACGGATGTGTGGTGGAATGAGATGTATGTGTGTGTGTGTGTGTGAACAAAAGTGCTCTCCAAGTGCAGAGAGACTTTTGAGTGTCGTATTTTACTTGGAATGAGTATTCCAAAGTCATCTCCTCAGGGAAAGAAAGTTCAAGTGTGGTGAATGTGTTTTAGTGAAAATGAAAAAGTGTAAAAATCTTTGAAGTTTTGAAGTTGGTGATTTGTGTCTGTGATAGAAGATGAAATGGAAACAAGTATTGGCTAATCCAAAGAGGTCATTCTAATGGGAATACCAAATTAACTCAAGACCTTCCTCCAATGGTGTCTAGATGTTCGATTGATTCGTGGGAAGCGCAGGACTAGGATGGAGGTGAGGATCCAAGCATACCCCGTGACAATGTCTATGGGATATCAAAGACTCACAATCACGTTCACACTTAATCCAATCAAATCGAATCAATGTACACTATGAGGGGAAAAGAAAATGAGTTAAAATGGAAAACCCAAGAGAAGGTCTCCCTTGGATTAGCCAACTTAAACTCTAGCTACTCATAATAAAAGGAAAGACATGCATAAAGTAAATAGACATAGTGAAGAAATGAGGATTAGAACTTAACTTAATGCAAGAAATCTTAAACTATGAAGAAAAATATTCAATACCCATTTTAAAACTTGAAAAGAAGAAAGCTTAATACAACTATGGTGAAATCCAAAATATAGAACTAAACTTGCAAAACACTTGAAATAAATGGCATTGAAAGTAATAAATGAAGCTTACAAAAGTCTTACTAAAGATTACAAGTGAAATGAGTGGAAGAAATGCAAAAATCTAAGCTTTTCTAACTAACTATTCATCTTCTTCCTTGAAGCTTTCTAAGCTTAGGAAGCCTCCCTTCAAAATCTTGTGGAATGCTGAATATAGTGTAAAACTCGGGTAAATTGGAACTTTTTATGAAAAGGGCAAAACAGTAAATTGCCACTTCAGTGTGGGTTGAAAACTTATATTTTTCTAGAGCTTGGATGATGAAACAGACCTCACCGTTGGATTCGTCTCGCAAAATTTAGTTACCTAAACAAATTTTGTCGAATTTTTAGATAGTCAGATTTTTTACGTTTTAAGACGTAATCGGGTCTTAGGTGACCCAAAAACGAAATTTTTAATAAAATTTTGAAAGTTGAAAAATAATTTAAAGCAAGTTGAAATAAAAATATTTGAACTTGAACCGGAGTGAAATTTAATTGTTTCGGGGCAAAAACGGACTTAGAAAAAGGAGGACGTGTGGCGCATTGTGAGCCAAGTGTTTGGAGACTATAAAAGGGGAAGAAAAATCAGATTTCTTCCCTACATTCTGCTGGTATTCAACGTTGGAGAGAAAGAGAAGAAAAAAAAGAGAAACCCAACCTTCTCTCTACGATCTACGGCCTTATGGTGCTTGAATTAACTCGAGCCAAGAATTAAAGTTGTTCCACTTGACGAGGGTTACGCCTACATACCAAAAAAAGAAAATTTCACCAAAATTCTAGAAACAGGATTTTGGAAAATCAAAGGCTAAGAACTTTGGTTATGTTCTTGAAGCTTCTTACGGATATTTTACGCTTCAAGAGGTAGGGTTTTTATCCTACTTAAGGTTTATTTCTAACCTAGGAAGATTGTATGAAATTGGTAGGTTGTTAGATGTGATTTAACAAATGTCTATTGTATTTGAAATGTGAAATGGGTATTGGAAATAGGTAGAATAACTTCTATCTTGACTTGAATACATAGAAATTGCTAGATTGTGATTTCTTGAAAATTTTGATAATTGGATATGTGGAAATCATTAAATGTGATTTCTTGATTTATGGGATGATTATGGGCATTTTTATGTGATAACATAATTTGGTGCCTTGAAGTTGTTTGACTAAATGCCTTTGTGAAAATTAAGTGTGTTATTGCTATAGACTATATATGACATGCTTGGAAAATTGTTGTGGAATGAAATGTTGATATATGTTAGTTGATTTATTGGCATTGTGATGGGTTATGGTAATTATATGCACATGATATAAATTGCCATGTTGGAATATGTGGAACATTGTTTATATGGTACTCATACATGTTGGACATGATATTAGAATTTCAATTGCTCACTACATTGCATATGCACAGAGGCTTCACATTCATGAGAATGAGGCATGAATGTGTGTGTGTATGTTGTTGGGTCAAACACCATCCTTGGTGATTGACAAGTGGACTCGGTATAGTTGGATCAAGATTCAACAGAGTCGCATGGGTTGCATGAAAGAAAACTTGTGTCAGGTATAGCAAGAAGGACTAGATACTCTATCTGGTGCAAGACCCGACTACTGGTTTATACACTTCCGACGGTGTAAGTCCAAAAAAGTGTATCGGTGTGTGGAGCTGGCGGTGAGACACCAAAAGTTTGCTACCCAACAAAGTCACATGATTTTATTTTATAAAATAGTCATTTGATGTATAACATCAATGACGGATTTATTACACATTGACATTGCATTGTGTTAAGGGAGTCGGTGAGGGTGAGGGTTAAAGTGCATGAGTGAGTCTCATTTCATTTCATGGCATGACATGACAGAATTCCAACATTGAAGTGCATATTCTTGTTTGGGATGATTGTTTCTTGTTGAATGTTGCATGTGAACATTTCATATGCACTTAGGCTGGGGAGTGGCCTCTGTAGGAGATACCCTATTGAGCGTGACTCACCTTTTATGAAAAAATATTTCAGGTGTGGGGTTCACACCGGCAAATGGATCCCAATTCGAGCCTCAAAGGTAAAGAAGGCTGACTTGTGGCTTTTATGACTCATTTTGTATAAGTTTTGTGAAAATCCCATTTTGGCATGTAAATGTAAAAAAATTGTAATCAAACTCATATGAACTGTTTTAATGTAAAAAAAATTGCATGTGGTTATATGAGTATGGATAAATGGATCCTGTGTAGTCAATATTTATTCATAAATGGACCTGGTGTGGTCAATGTTGTATATTTGCACATGTTGTATTTTTGATAGAGCTTCCTATACAAAGGAGACTCTGCCCGAATTTCGTTAAATTATGGATCCTGTTAAATGGGCCATAACAGTGTGATATCGAGTTACAAGATAGTCATAGGTATTTCGTGGGTTGATGGGTAATCAAAGGGTTGACAAAGGACCCCCGATTTTTGGGGCGTCACAACTTGGTATTAGAGCTTAAGTATACGATGTACCTAGGGTTTGAGGGGCATGGGTTTAGACTATTGCATCCATTGTGTATTTCATGTTGTGTGCTTTACTTGTTACATGTCATGTGCTATATGCTATGTGGATTATATGCATGGTAAGATGTATATGGAAATGGACACACTAGGGTTAGAAAACATAACCTTAGGGTCGGAAAACAAATGAATGGAGTGGTTCACGAGGTAGATGTCTACTAGTGGTTGGCATATACTCTACTAGTTAGACAAGGAGGTAAATCTCAAAGTTTGAACTTTGATTCCTATTTTGGGATATTAAGTAAATGCTTTGTTGTTATTTGACATGTGTGTAGATGGCAAATAGAGGAAGAGGACGCAACCAAGGCGGTGGGTGGAACAACAACTAACCACCACCGACTTTTGACCAACAAACCTTCATGGAGGCTATTGGCACGATGATAGTCACCATTGCATAGACTACTACAAATACGGGGCCAGGAGGGTCAAGTAACCTCCAAAGGTTCAAGGCACACAAACCTTTGACTTTTCTGGGAGGGACGGATCTGATGGTGGGCGACCGTTGGTTCCAACAAGTCAATAAGATTTTAGAGGCTATGAAGATCACCTCCGATGCCACAAAGATAAGGCTAGTTGCATTCCAACTAGAAGGAGAAGCCTATTGGTGGTGGGGTTGGTCAATGGCCTTGAAGAACTTAGAGGCAATGCCATAAGGAGAGTTCCGGGAGCTCTTCATGGGAAATTACTTCCTAACGACTGTTTGACATGCCAAAGCCTGAGAATTCTTAGACTTGAAGCTAGAACTATGACGATGATGGAGTATGTGGCTAAGTTCACCGAATTAGCCCGCTTTGTCAATGATTATGTGGCCACCGACTTGGCCAAAGTGAGAAGGTTTGAGGATAGGTTGAAGTTGTCCATCCGGGGTAAAATTGTGGGCCACCTCCTATAGGATTTGGACTCAATGGTCGAGACGAAAATGGCGGCCATTGAGAGAGAGGTTGACGATGCACAAAGAATCCGTAAGGTAGGTGCTAAGGATAAGAAGAAGGAGGGTCAACCCTATTCTTTTAGTTTAGGAAAAAAGCAACGAATTTCTACTCCACAAGGACACCAGGGACAGGGCCGCGACTATCAAGGCCAAGGCCAATGTTAGTCTTCCTAAGGCGGGAGACACTTCAGGGTTTCTAGCCAGCATGCTTACGGACATGTTTTCATTGCAACCAATCGGGCCACATGAAGCAGGATTGTCCCTAGAGACAGGGATCCCAGGGTTATGGGACATCTCAGTCCCAATCATCAATGGGGACTCCGCAGACAGGCTAGATGGGCCAAGGTCGGGGACAGGGCATGCAGGCCAGGACTTCAGGGACCCAAGGGCATGTCTACGCCATCACACCTCAGGCTGAGCTAGTGGATCAGTCAGTTATTTAGGATACATTCCTACTCTCTTGCTTATGGGCCAGAGTGTTATTTGACTCTGATGCATTACATTCATTCATTTTTGTATAATGTGTGAGAGATTTGGGCTTAGAGGTTGATAATTTGGAAGAGCTGTTGTATGTGAATTCACCCCCAGGAGCTAGGGTGTATGTTAACTA